CGATTCTTTTCCTCTTTGAGTTCCAAGTAATCAAAAATCCATGTTATGATGTTTTATATCCAAATTGGAGTGAGGACAATACAATGCTCAGAACAGGTTACATTTTGTCACTTTTCTCTAAAGCAAAGTTGATTCTGAAATGCACCATTCCGGCACTCTGGTTTTTGCTCAGTGTGTGAACAATTCTTATTGTGATGGGGATTATTTCTTAGGACAAATGTCCAGTGTAGTATAAAAGAGAATCCTCAAAATACATGCCTTGGCATACTGCCAACACACAAACATACAGAAATGTCATTGGATTCTTTCATGCAATTTATTTTCAGTAAAGAGTTGAACTTTGTCTTACAAGCTGTGGCTCTCCTTTTGACGGCATGACTAATCCAGTAGAACTTCAAGCTTCTAATCCTGAGCTTTGCATAGGAAGCACATAATTTGGATGTGATATTCCCATTATGTTTACCTTTTTTTAAAACCAAAACCAAGTTGCTAATCCTCATGGCTGCAAAGGTCAGCTTGCTCTTGGGTGACTGAATGACCAAATTTCTGCAGCTGAGCAGTCTAAGAATAAAGAAACCAGGGCTTCATAGCCATTGCCTATTATCTTCCTCAGTGACAGCAAAAGTGAAATTAACAATGCACAGTATGCAAATACATTCAAAGGAACATAATGTTTAACAGTCAAAGAACTCCGTTTTCCTTGGCAATTGCTGCTGGTTTGTCGCAATTTGTTTTAGAAACATACCATAAACACAGTCTTGGATGTATTGCAGCAGGCGGATTTCTTACACCATTCTGACCGTTGGGAAGTGTTTGGTGCAACCTTTTGATGAATGGGGATTAAGGGAGAGAAAATGGCAGCCTCTTTGTTCCACATCACCTGGGACTGGCCCATCCCATTCCATTAACTCCTGTGGACAGCCAAGTCAAGTAGGGCTGGTGGCTTATCCTCCCAAGAGGAGTTGCACATCAATAAATCAGAGGCAAAATGCTACTATCTAGGCCTGTTCTAATCATCATCTGTGTTCCAAGAACATTTCCAGGCTGGGTCCTGGAGCCCCTCTGTCCTCAATGCCAGTTTTTTAAGAGTTGTTTCTGGCTGAGGTTTGTTGTGGGAAAAAAATGAGATTCCATTACGTTGCACCACTAGAAGGAAATGGAATAAAGAATTTGGCTGGAATCTCAAACACATTCACACACCCCCACGTGGGGGAAGAAAAACATTGACAGAAATAACACTCACTACCATCTATGGCTTTAAAGATTGAAGCTGGAGTTATAACAGTTTGCAAAACAAGTTAACAAGCTTGTTAAGCCTAAGAAAATGCACAGAATGAAGAAATAATGAATTTAATCATTCTGCCCATCCTTTTTTTTTTAATCAAGGCTGGCTTT